ATATTCTGTTTCAATTTTTGTAGGATGGATTATCATCTGGATGCAGAGTTGAGATAGGTGTCGGGCAAAGTTTCGTAAAACAGTAACTTTGACAGCTTCACCCAGGTCCTGGAGCTGTTTGACGACCAGCATGCAGATATACTGCGTCAGTCCATTCTGTGACCTCTATACCCTATGAGAGAGTTGCAGTATTCGAGTCAGATGATGGATGATCTTCTATGTCGGTTGCTGAGTCCAGTTAACGGCGATGGCCTCCACTTCGACCTCGGGGGCAAAGTCATCAGCTTTTCCATGTTAGAGTTTGCCTTGCTGACTGGATTGAAGATTACGGGCGATGAGACAACTAGTGACGGGAGTCAGAGAAGAAATAGGCAGTAGGACACTTACTTCCAGTGACAGGGGACGATGGTTCTGCCTCAGATGATGGACGCGATTAAGAGGTGTGACGAGAGATGTGACAGACTAAAGTTAGGTCTGGTCTACATCATTAAAAGCGTGATGTGGTGTCACCACAAGAAGACTGCGATCAACCTCTTCCACCTGGAGATCGTCAACGATATAGATTGCTTCAACAGCTATCCATGGGGCCGCCGATGTTTCGAGAACACCGTCCACATCTTCACCAGACCACACTCGAAGTCCAAGGGGCCCGTGCGTAGGTACGACACCTGCGGATTCCCCTTGGAGCTGTAGGTAAATGATTAATGCAATCAATGTTAAAATATTTTTCCTATTGAATTTGTATGTACTAATTTATGTGTTGCAAGTCTGGGCATATGAGAGCATCCTCATATTGGGTACCCACTTTGCACGGCGAGGAAGACACGCCACCCTCGGATGCACCATTGGTGAGCATCTCGAGCAGAAGGATGTCCCACTGGAAAACAATTATCGGCTCTCCTCAACGACCCCTATGTGAGTATTATAAATTTGTAATTTATATTGTACATAATTTAAAATCTCATTACATGATTTTATCTTTTTAAAATGTCAATATGTCAGTTTGAAGTAATAATTCATTTGACGCCGTCGATGGAGAATGAGGCGCAGGGTCTTGTCTGTGAAATAGCGGTTTCACACACCTAAGACGACCAGATGTCCAATTCGATCCCCGATCGAGACTGGGTTAGTGAATTATTCATTAATATTTTGTATGAGTTAGCAGTTATTGAATAAGTTAATAATATGTAAGTTTATGCACGACCGTGAGCCAGTTGATCCGCATCACCTCCGCTGAGGGCATCACCTCCATCGTCGGGATCACCTCCTCCTCCTCAGGGTGATTATTCTGATGATCTGTACCATTACTTGATTGGATTTATGGTGTAGGAGTTATAATATGAAATGTCGGCGCGTTACGTCAAGAGCTAATATGAGTTATATCAGAAGAGGTCGGCGCGATGCGTCGAGATATGGTGGAGCGGGTGGATGATTTGGGACGCCAGTTGGTAAGGAGGGTCGAGGATATAGTTGATGATGTTAGAGTGCTGCGTGGGCATTTAGGGGACCTTCAGGATGAGGTGATAGCACTCCGAGGTGACATAACAAACAGACGATGGGGTGACGGAGGTGATGACAAGGAAGGTGATCGAGAGGATAGAGATGGGGGTCATCCACAGTCATGGTTAGAGGATGCATAGGAATCATTTCTTCAATCTATGGAGGATAGGGTGGCCCTGAGGGCGGAGGTGGTGGTGGCCCCATTGGGGATGGGAGCGACGATTGAGGAGGTGGTACCGATGATGGCGGATAAGGAGGTCGAGGAAGTAGTATGACGGGGATGGATGAGTGGGTAGGCCCCTCGGGGATGAGAGCTATGGTCGAGGAGGTGGTGATGACGGGGACAGAGGAGAAGGTGAGTGTGGAGCAGGTGGTAATCATCGAGGCGGAGGAGGAGGTGAGCCTAGAAGAGGTGGCGATCGTCGGGGCGGAGGAGGGGGCGATGCTTGAGGTGGGCGAGAGGAGGACGATTGCTGTAACTAGGGCGAAAAAGCGTGCTATTAACGTGTCGGAGCTCGTGGTAAGCAAGAGGCCAAGAGTGCCGTCACAGTACATTGTCTCTCCCTTCTCGGCTGAGACGAAGAGGAAGAGGTTCATCGATGGGACGGTCCCTAACCGATTTTGGGAAGTAGACCATGCCAAATGGAAATCGTTCGAGACGGAGTGGATAAGAATATTGCCTGTATTAGTATTTATGATATTAGTGATATTAGTACATACCAGTGATCGTTACTCGTATATGCTTCTTTAACATTTCTCTATTTCTTTTTTCAAGACCAGCCACACGATCGGTACTGTGACGATCTCCAATACTTATAAGTGATTCCACGACATCATTACTTCAGGAGCTTGGCTTTCCGACGATGTAAGTGAAGTATTGTCTTAGCGTACGTAGCTCTCCAATAATCAATCGTGTAATAATGAGAGCACAATGTTCTAGTTGCAAATCCTCGATACATAGCAACCGCGACTGTATGTTCACATGGAAAAGTCTCCAACTGAAATTTTTTATAAGTACATGTGCTATTAGTCAAGTCCACCATGTATGTCGTATTACGTGTACATTCCACTGAAAAGCGCGACTCGTCTAGTGGTTCGACATTCAACTGTCTCTCAAGTTCTGTAGCTTTGAATAGTCTTTCCTCTTACACCGAGGCTAGCACACTCATTCAATTTTGCGATTTCGCATGTCGATCATGAAGCTACTGCTACAACTTGATACGGATATTCTCAATCAGTACAAGGATGTCAATCATTCTTGAATAACGTATTGAGAGACTCCGCGTTGTTTAAAGTCATCATATTGTATTGACGTCCTGAAAAAAATGAGTGTGCCCAATGTTCAATCCTCATTTTCGTTAGATAATCCCATGCATCGAATAATTTACTTCCTATTTCAACTATGAACTTATTACACTCTTCAACATTGTAGGCTTTAGCCACTCTCCTGAACAATAAAACGATACCTTTGTCCCGATACCTGGCCTTCAGATTGCCTTGAATATGGTACATGCAATATCCATGATGTGCATCTGGAAAAACTTCAGCGATACCATTTATCAAATGTTGTCCCCGATCGGTTACAAATGTAAGGTCCTTGACTTTCCCAATTATTTTCCTTAACTTTGTGAAGAACCACCATAATGACAGGTTAATCTCAATATCAACTATGTCGAACACAAGAAGGTAAATTTGGATGTTGGCATCTTGATATGTAGCAATAATCAACTTGCCTTGATATTTAGATTTCAGTGTTGTACCATCAACTGGAATTAGGGGTCGCATTGCATTTTGAAATCCTCGAATGCATTGTTCAAGAACTATTAAAAAGAATTTGAAGCAATTCCCACCCTCCGTCTCAATAAAAAATTTCAAGCCAAGACTAGTTTTCTCCATGTTATGGCAATACCTGGCTAATTTAGTATAGCTTTCCTCTATAGAGCCTATTAAA